CATGTGGGAGACCTGGAAGAAGCTCCTGGCTCCTGGCTTCGGATCAGCGCAGCTCTGGCCATTGCAGCCATTTGGGGAGTGAACCAGCAGATGCAAGACCTCTCTCTCCCTCTCTGCCTTTCTCTCTCTCTCTGTGTAACTCTGACTTTCAAATAAATGAATAAATCTTTTCTTTCTTTTTTTTTTTTAAAGGCCATACAAATTAAGTCTATTAAACAATGCAGACCCATCCAAAGTGAGTGAGCCACGCACAGCTGCACCTGGAGGGAGGGGCCCATCCAAAGTCCCCCGTAACCACTTCCAGGTCACCATGGCGACACTGGGCCTCTCCCCATGCCCCATCAGGGGTGGTTTCGCTGAGGCTTGTTCTAATCCTCTGATCCGGATGGAGCCCCCAGACTTCTCCACTGGGAAGTCACTTCTCCTGTAGCCATCAGTAGCTACTTCCTGAAAGCCCACGGACGGCTCGCGGCCTCCTCCCCTGGTGCCCAGTCAGCACCGATGGCTCCCTCTGCCTCTCCGGCCTCAGCCACTTTTGTGCCCTCTGGAAACTTCTCTGCCATTTTCATGGGCTGGGTGGCCCTTGCCTGTGTCCCTGCCCTACGATCGGCCACCTCTTGCATTTTCCTGACTGTGCTTTTACGGGATTTGAGGAGGGAAGCGAGGGAGAGGCTCCGGCTGGACTTGCTCTCTCAAAGCACGGGTGATGGCCGCGATGATGGGATGGATGAGAACGAGGGGGAGCAGACAAATAGAAGAACGGGTGAAAAATGTCCGCTCTCCCTCGCAGCCAGAGCGCAGGGCACCCTAGTGATGAGGGACAGCAGGTGCAGGGCCCTGGGGCCGCCCACCAGAACCTTGCCCGTCCTCCTCCGACGCTCCTTGCTAGGTGTGCACACGGCTCCCGCTGTCTCCCGCAGCCCGGATGCATCCCGTAGCTGGGGCCGCTGAAAGCCACGGAAGCCACCGATGGGGGCAGGAGACGCCGGACCCCTGGGGAGGAGCCTGAGCACGGCAGGCTCGGCCACCACCGAGGCCCCCTCAAAGCTGGGGGCCGGGAGCAAACCCAAGGCTGCGAGGGGAGGGATGGGAAGGCCTGGCGGGGGCCTGGGCAGATTTGCTTCCTCTTTCCCCAGCAGGAACCTCTGGGACAGGCGGCAGCCCCCACTCCCACTCGCTCCCCTCACTCTGGGACAAGCCCTTCCACTCTCTCAGGATGTCCGTGCCGCTGCTGACAGCCCACGAGGCCCAGGGGGCTGCCAGCCTTTTCACTCCTGGGCTCCATCCGTGCCCCGTGCCGCCGCCTCTTCTTCCCTCCTGCCCCAGCAGTTTGTCTCCCCCTAGCTTGCCTGCTCCGCCTTTATCTAGGAGGCCTCAGGAACAGGCACGCTGGGAGCCGCCCCCGGGCGCTCTCCAGGCACCCACGGCAGAGGCCGGCCAGATGTCGGCGCACCTTGGTGGGCGTCTGGCCTGGCCATGTCCCCCTCCAAGCCACCAACAGCAGCACGGCGGCTCCCAGAGGCACTCGGGGACCCTGCCAGGGGCTGCACAGCCCAAAGGTGTTCCCAAATGTGCGGAACACGCAGACTGTCTTCCCGGCATGTGGGCACACGTGTGTCACGTTGGCACAAGTGTGTGGTGGAATTTCTGCCTCGGGCAGAGTTAACAGAGGCAGGGCAAGACGGATGTTAAAGGACTTGGTGGGGGGAAGCAAGAACAATGCCAACTCTTCTCACTAAATAATTTTGAAAACTGGAATTAATTTTCATAAAACATTTGTATTAACACAAAAAGGGGGTCAGCGCTGTGGTCGGAGTAGGCTAAAGCCTTCACCCTGGGGTGCCGGGCATCCCAT